GAATGGCAGAGCTGGGAGGGAGCTTGGAACACGGAATGGCAGAGCTGGGAGGGAGCTTGGAATACAGAATGGCAGAGCTGGGAGGGAACTTGGAACACAATGGCAGAATTGGGAGGACCCTTAGAATATAGAATGTTAGAGCTGAGAGGGATATTCGAGCTGGTCTAGTCCAGCCCCCTCATTTTATAGAAGAAACAGAAGCTCAAAGCAGGGAACAGACTTATCCAAGTTCCCATAAGTCAGTGGCAGAGCCCAGATTTTCTACCTCCCTCCCAGCTCTGGGCTCTTTCTCCATCTAGCTAGGAAGCTAGGACTCCCAGACATAAATAGTTACTGTGGAGGGAGCTAAATTAGTAGAAAAAATTGGGAGGTAACCATGATCAAAGCAGCATCCTTGAAAGAGGTGAAAGAGAAGGCTTTGGATAAGAAAAGAGAGAAGGAAGAGGAAGTCTCCATCACCCCTATTAAGCTTTGGTGGAGCCTTGGAGAGAGGCTAGGAAGAGGGAAGGAGGTTCTTTTTGGGGGGAGGAGGTCCACCCTGATTGGTGATTACTGCTATCCCTCTAGAGTTCCTGTACCTGCAAGCCAGGCTTCGCAGGGGATGGTTATGAGTGTAGCCTCATCAACCCATGTCTGACTCGCAACGGTGGGTGCCATGTGCTGGTGAGTAAAATGTGCCTGAGGCCTGGAGGACTGTCCCTGCCACCCTGGCCCTTGGGTGGGCTGGGGTTAGTTAGGTTCAGTGATCAGGGCAGGAATCTGGAGGTTCATTCATTCTATATTTGTGAAGCCCTTCCTGTGTGTAGGATCCTGTCTGCCAGCCTGTGTCCTTGCCTTTTCAAAGTGTTTTCCAGCCAGTGTGAGTCTCTCTCTGCTGTGTCTACCTGTCTGCCTGTGTGCCTGTCACTCTGTGCCCCGATTTCCCCATCCTTTGCTGTCAATCTGTGTCTATCTCTGTGAATCTGTGCATCTCGCTGTTGGTCTATGTGTGAATGTCTTGGTGTCTCTGGTAGGAGGAATAAGGCCAATGCCCACAGAGCGCTTTAAGGTTAGCAAAGCACTTTGCAGGCATGATCGTGTACCGTTGCATGCATACCAACACTGAGGCAGGTTCCTCAGGTGTTGTGATCACCCTCTCCTCCCCCTTTTGAAGATGAGGACATTGAGGCTCAGAGACATGAAATGAAGCAGCTGGCTGTGTCTAAGGCAGGCTTCTAACCCAGCTCTTTCCTGATCCCAAGTTCTGGGATTTTCATATTATTTCATGCCGCCTCTCTAAGGCAGGAGAGTGTGTTTGTCAGATTTGCAGGTGACGCCAAGGTGGGCACCAATGCACTGCACAACTAGATCAGAATCCTAAAAGTTCTCTATCATAACACCAATGCCATCATGCCTGGTTAGTCATACAACCATAGATTTAAATATGGAAAAGGACCTTCAAGGTCATCTAGTCCAACCCCCTCATTTTGCAGAGGAGAAAACTGAGGCCCAGAGAGATGACAGGATAGGCCCAACATCAATCACACAGGTAGTAAGCGAATCCACATCCTCTGACCCCCAATTCAGCACTGTTTCTACCACATGTTGCTTCCTTGTTTACTGAGGCTCAGTTTCTTCATCTGTCTAATAGGAATAATAACTAGCTACTGTACTTGGTTTACAGTGAGGGAATCACTTTGCAATCCTTCAAGTGGTATAGAAATGTGAGTTACTATTATTACATAGAAGAAGCGATTTCTACATCTGGTATAGGTAGGATTGAACAAGGTCCCCTTCCAACTCTGAAATTTGACTTGGATGTGAATCTTTGTGCCTCTGTAGTTCTGTTTCTCTCTGTCTACCTCTGAATCTCTGTGTCCCTAGGCCACGTGCCGGCCCCAAGGGGATGGAGGACGGCCGCTCTGTTTGTGCCCAGATGGCTACGGTGGAGATGGCTTCACCTGCTATGGGACTATTATGGAGGTGAGTGGACCTTGAGCTCGTGATCCCATCTCATTCCCTTCCTCACCTAGATTAGCCTTGGTGGGAGCTGGCTTACCTGATGGGGGAGGGTATTTGAGACCATGGACCTGGGTGGGGAGAGGGTCAGAGCTGTTCATCCCTGCCACCATCACAATTTGCTCCAGTCACAGACCATCCCTGCTCTCTCTCTAGGAGCTAAGGAAGAATGACCACTTTGCTGAGTTCTATCAATGGATTAAGGTAGAATGGGGAGTGGGGGTGGGGAGGGATCTCTTGAGCCCAGGTCAGCTCCCTGGAGTAAACTCCAGGATACAACCTGTCTCAAGCCCAGGAACTTGTGGCCTGGATACTCACTTGTGATCTGGCCTTGTCCAGAGCCTGGGTTGGAGGGGAGACCCTAGGGACTTCCTCTAATTTTCTGCATATAATGTGTGCCTTCAACATGGCTGTCTGTGGCTCTCATGGGGAGGCTAGAATGTGACCTGCACTGACCCCTATGGTGACTTCCGCATGTTCTCTGGCCCCAGAGAGCTGGCTTCGCCCTCCCTACCAGGGGCAACTTTACAGCCTTGGTGCCATCAGAATCTGCTATCCAGAGCCTGAGCCCTGAAGACAAGGCCTTTTGGCTGCAGCAACAACAGTTGCTTCACCTGCTTAGGTATGAGGGGAGGGGCTGCCTCACCTGGTCAAAAGATCATAGATCATAGCCCTATAGACTTGAAGTTGGAAGGGACCTTAGAGGTCACCCATTTTATAGATAAGGAAACCGAGATGAAGTACCTTCCCGAAGATCATACAAGTGGTGATGAGCAGATTTGAACCCATGACTTCTCATTCCAAATCCAGTATAGGGGGGTGGTAACCAGGTCTAGAGCGCTGGACATGGACTTATCCCGCAGAGATGTCTGAATTACCCTTCTACTCATCCCCTCTTCCTTCCCCTGCCAATTTCCTTTCCCCTTGGAAAATAGAAGGCCAGGGATTCTCAAACGCCTGCCTTGGGGGACTTTGCTTCTGGCTAAAACTTCTTAACCTCTCCCTGTGTTTCCTTGAGGATAGAGAGAAGGCAAAGATAAAGACTGGGAGAAGGGGAAACTGGGAGAGAAACACAGGCACTTTTAACCTTCTGACACTCCTGCTGACCTTTGTCACTGTTTCCCTCCTAATCCCCCCCCATCCAGGGCCCACTTCCTCCCAGGTGCTCTTACCACTAGGCAGCTGTCGGGCCTCTTTGGACAGGAGGTGACCACCCTGAATCCACCCACACATTGGGAGATCACCAACAGCAGTGGGGTGAGACTTGGGCCAATTTAGCTGATGTTTCCCCTTCAAATTTCCCAGGATTCTGAGGTGGAGAGCTGGGGTGGACCTGGAAGCGGGGCTAAGACAGTCCAGGACTTCATAGGGGGTCACAAATGGGGAGCCCCGTGGTGTGCCCTCAGAAGACCAGCAGTCAGGGTCACCGCCCCATCGTCTCTCTGCGGTCTGGTCTGGGTTCAGTCACCTTGCTCAGAGCCCCATGGAACATAACTGAGATACCAGGCTTATGGGTGGCATCCGTATATGTTTCTGCCTCTTTCTCTCTGTTTCTGTGTCTATCTGAGCTGTCTTCAATGGCTTTTCTCAGAAAATCACCATTCAGAATGTGAGTGTGGCTGTAGCCGACATCCTTGCCACCAATGGGGTCCTGCACATCCTTAATAAGGTCTGTTCCTCTACCCCTACTCGAGCTTCCCTCAAGGATGGCACAAGTCATGTCTGCCATCCTCTGCAGGGCTAGTTCTGATCCCCAAGCTAGTTTCTGCCCCCCCAAACTGCCCAACAGTGACTCCTAAGCCAGAGGGGCCCAAGTCCAGGGCACAGCTAGCTCTGGCTATTCGGTCCTCAGGTACTGCTGCCATCTCGGATGGATGCTCCCCCTCCCAGGCTCAGCCTGAGACAGCAGCTGGATGGCATCCCCTCCTTCAGCGTCTTTAAGGAATTGTTAGTGGTGAGTTGTGCCCCGGGGTGAGCATGGGGGTGAGAGGGAAGGTTTGAAGATGACCTAAGTAAATAGGGGAAAGATGCCTGGAGCTGGCATCAGGGAATGGATTTGAATCATGGCTCGGCTTGAAAGCAGGAGTTTCTAAACCGGGGTTCACGAATTTAAAAACAAAATTTTATAATTGTATTTCAGTATAATTGGTTTCCTTTGTAACTCTATGCATTTCACATTATGCATTTAAAAACATCATCCACCAGACTGCCAGATGGGTCCATGAAACAAAAAAAGTTAAGAAGCCTTGCCTTAGAGTGGAAAGACTAGACTGGGGTCTCTAATGTCTTTTCCAGCGCTAAGCCTATGATCCCTTGTCTATGTTGGCTAAGATGCTTTTGACTCTCAGAAATACCCAGGGAGTTTTGACTTCCAGGGGCTTCCTCCTTCCCTCCCACGCCTGTGAGCTCTGACCTCTAGGTCCTAGGGGATGTAGTGAGCAGACATTTCCAGGAACATTGATGGATGTGGGGGCAAGGAAGGTTAAAAGCCACGAACCCAGAGAACCCAAATTGGGGAGTCAGAAGACCTAGCCTCCAGTCCCAGCTGTGTAACTGACTCCTGTGTATAATCTTAGGCAAATTATTTCTCTTCTGTGAGCCTCAGTTTACCCAGCCATCCAATGAGGAACCGAGCCAGGCAGTATCTAAGACTCTTCCCAGTCTGGTCTGACTGGGATTCTTAGCCCACCACTGGATAGAGGGTTTTTAGAGGAGGACAAGGCATGGCTTTGCCTGTTCTCCCCTCCCTGGGCCATGCTGAGGTCAGCCTCTGCCTCCTTCTCCCCAGCAATACCAGCTACTGGCCCAGATCGAGGCTGCTGCCGCCTATACCCTCTTTGTGCCCACAAATGGCTCAGTGGAGGATTACTATCTGAAAGCTAATCTGAGTACCCTGGTGAGTGAGTGACTAAGCTGGACTCAGGTAGGAGGGACCCTGAACTCAGGGTCTAGGGCCATGGGGATAGAGGGGCACACTAATCTGTACTACCCACTGTCACAGAAAACTCCAGATAGGGATGGGTAAAAGCATGTGTCTATACCACTGAGTAGTCCAGCCTAACCTCTATCTGCCTCAATTTCCTCATCTGTAAAATGTGAATAATATTCATAGCCTTGTTTTGAGGATCAAATGAGATAATATAAAATGCTATAGAAATACTAGTTTATCATTATTATGCCTGGAATCTGTCTGCTTTTATCTGAATATAATATGCACATTAGTAAGACACATGTATGTACACTGGCCTGCTTTGTTGGGGCAGGAGAGTGAACTGAGCGGCTGAGGACAGGGGTGGGACATCCCCGCATCCCTCTGGGTCACATGCTCTGAGTCCCACCCCCTGTCCCTTGCTCCTTCTCCCAGGACCTAGAAACTGTGATGCGCCATGTGCTCCTTGGTGAGGCTCTCACCCCGGATGCCATGCGGCCTGGGATGCACCGAAATTCCCTCCTGGGCTCCTCCTACGAGCTAATCTTCTACATCAGGCCGGGAGACCTAGTGAGTGCAGTACACCTGCGAGAGAGACCCCGCCTACGACCCCGTCCAGTGGAGGCCGGCCACACGGACGCCCCACCTCCAACGGAAGCCACCCATAGGACCACCTACCCTTCCTCCGCTCCGCGGGGGGGCAGAGAAGCCCAGTCGCCTCCACAGAGACCCGCAGATTCCGTGGACTTAGCGGTGGGCCCCCTGCTTCAATTAGCCTCTCCTCCTCCCACCTGTCCTTGGACTCAGACAAGACATCTCCCTCAAACGGAGTCGGGGGTGGAGAGGGGTAAATGCGACGCCAGGCTGCAGCCTTTCTCCCTCTTTTCCTCTCTCCCACAGCCCCTGGTGAACCGAGTCCCTGTGGTGGGTCCCACGCTGAAGCCCCAGGGGGGTGTCGTGCTGGGTTTGGGCGGGGTCCTGGCCGAGAGGCCCAACATTTGTCCTCGCTCGCATGAGGCAGCAGTCAGGGTGAGCACTGGAGTTTGGGGAGAGACCTGCTCACACCTGGAGGCGAGGGTGGAGGCATCTCGGGCAGGGCTTGTTAGCGGCTAGGGGGAGCCGGTCCATGTTCTCTCTTGACCCCCGTATCTTCCATCCCTCTTGTCCTGGGGTGTGCAGAAGAAATGCGGCAGCTGTGAGCGGAGATACCGCTGTCCTTCTGGCCATAAGATCCAGGTGATTGATGGGGAGGTGGGAAGGTGTCCTTGGCTCTGTCTCATTCATTCATTCATTCATTCATTCATTCAACGTTCTAAGTGTGTCTATTTTTGTGTCTATCTCCCTCCCTAACCCTCTCCCTTCCCCCTCCCTCTCTCTCTCTCCCCCTCCCTCCCTTTTTCTCCCCTTCCCCATCTCCATCTCTCCCACTCTTCCTTTCTCCCTCCCTTTCTCTCTCTCCCACCACCTCTGTGCTGTGTCCAGACTTGTCAGGACAAGGAGGGGATAAATGAGGAATTTCTGAGTCAGGCTGTCAAAAAACATTTATTTGTTTTAGTTCACCGGCTCTGTGCTAAGCACTGAGGATACAAAAAAGGGCAAAAGCACAGTCCATGCCCTCAAGGAGCTCCCATTCTAATGGGTTAGAGAAGGCTGGACCAAGAATCAGAAGCCAAGGTTTTAGATTCTCAGAGTTGGTAGACACCTCAGACGTCTCTGATCTAACACAGTCCCAATTCCAACCCCAACCTGCCCCAAACCTACAAAGCAGCCTTCCTAACAGAGGTCATCTAGCCTCTGGTTGCACACTCAAAATGACAGGCGACTCACTACTTTATAAGGCAGCCTGCTTCCTTGTGGAACCAGCCAAGTGCACTTCTCTCTCCCTCTCTCCCTTCTCCTTCTCTGTACAATAGGGGTGGGGGGTTGATCTTGATGGTCTTTGAGAGTTCTGTTCCCCTCTAGGTGTCTTGGAACATAATGATAATAATAATAACTGACATCATTTTAAGGCTCACAAAGCATTTTATACATTATCTTTTTTATCAGTCCCCCAATATCAAGTGAGGTTGTAAGTATTGTTATGTCCATTTTTCACATAGAGGAGAAATGACTTGTTTAAGGTTATGTGGTTAGGAAGTATCATTACTGAGATAGGGGCCTGGGTCTTCTGACACGTAGTTAAGTCTTTTTTGGGGGGTGGCTGGGCTATGGGGTTAAGTGACTTGCCCAAGGTCACACAGCTAGTAAGTGTTATGTATTTGAGGTCGAATTTGAACTCAGGTCCTCCTGATTCCAAGACTGGAGCTCTATCCACTGCGCCACCTAGCTGCCCCCTCAGTCTTCTTTCCACCGAAGCATTTTGCCTCATGGACACAGAGAGTAAAGGATAACCTAATGGAACATCTGCTAGAGTAGTTTATGAAGTGAATGAATGGACGTTCTTGGATGACAGGCTAGTAAGTAAACATTTTATCCTCTCTTAGACTCACTGAACAGGTTTTTAAATTTTTTTTGTTCTGAATTTAACAAACACCAAATAAAATGAGCAGTTCCATTTACAAAGTAGAACAAAAAAAAGGGGATTTTACATGAAACTATAAATCTCTATTACTTCCAGTTTTTCTTTTTTGGATTATTACTGAAGATTTTGAATAAGGAAATGACATAGTGAGACCTGTGTGACAGCCGGTGGCTCAGTGGATAGAGCGCTGGGCCTAGAGTCAAGAAGACTTGGGTTCAAATCCAGCCTCAGATACTTCCTAGCTGTATGACCCTGGGCGAGACACTTAACCCTGTTTGCCTCAGTTTCCTCATCTGTAAAATGAGCTGGAGAAGGAAATGGCAAACCACTCCAGTTATCTTTGCCAAGAAAACCCCAAATGGGGTCATGAAGAGTTGGACACATCTAAAATGACTCTACAAAACCAAAAAAAAGTGTATTAGGAAAATAATTTGATTAGTTCTATGACGTGTCAATTGAAGAGGGAAGGCACAAGTTTCAGGGAGGCCTGGGACAAACTGGAGCGAACTATAGAAATCTATGAAGTCAAGCTCCTAAGAAGTTCTCCCTTTCTCTGGCTCTAGATGGCGCACCTAGCCAGCTCTCCCAGTAACAAGATCAGTATCTAGACATCAAAATCAAAGGACCAGGAATTCTGGGCAGGTGTCCAGATAAACAGAACCCTGCACCCCTTTTTGTCACCTCCTCTGTATCTGCCTGTCTGCATAACAACAACAGCTCATTTATATAGTGCTTTAAGGTTTACAGAGCCCTTTGCATACATTATCTAGTTTGGTCCTCACAGCTCTGTGAAGTGGGTGCTGTTATCCCTGTTTCAGAAATCAGAAAATTGAGTCTAAGAGAGTTGAAATGACTTGCCCAGGGTCACATGCAGCATGGAAGTGTCTGAGGAAGAATGTGAACCCATATCTTTTTTTTCTTCAATTTTATTTTATTTTTAATTCTAAATTCTGTCTCTTCACTCACCTCATTGAGGCCAGAAATAATAATAATAATAAAACCCTTACAAATATGAAGTCATACAAAATAAATTTCCCTATTAGCCATGTTTTTTAAAAAAGCAAGAAAAATAAATAGAAGAAAATATGCTTCCATCTGCATTCTGAGTTCCTCAGTTCTCTCTCTGGAGGTAGATAGCACATTTCATCGTAAGTCCTTTGGAATTGTGGTGGGTCATTGTATTCGTCAGAGTTACTGAGTCTTTCACAGTTGAACATCCTGACAATGTTCTCCTAGTTCTGCTCACTTCACTTTGCATCAATTCTTACAAGTCTTCTCAGATTTCTCTGAAATCATTCCCTTCATCATTTCTCATAACACAATAGCATCCCTTCCCATTCATAGACCATAGCTTGTTCAACCATTCCCCAAGTGAAGGACATCCCTTCAGTTTCCAACTCTTTGCAGCCACAAAAAGAGCTGCTTTAAATTTTTTTTTGCGCACATAGGTCCTTTTCCTCTTTCTAGGGTTTCTTTGAGGGTGTAGATGCAGGAGCAGAATTGCTGGGTCAAAGGGCACGTGCAAATTAATAGATTTTTGGTCCCCAAATCTTTCTAACTGAAGGAATAGTGCTCTATTTCCTGTGATACCTGCCTCTCTTTTTTGTCACACCTTCTGTCACTTTCTGTCATGTTTAGCTCATAAGATTTAAAGATGGAAGGGACTTTAAAGATAATCTAGTCATTTTACGATTGAAGAAAGGGTTCTTTTGGTCTCATTTTAACTCTGTCCTGGTTTAATTTTCTCTCTCTCTCTCTCTCTCTCCTTCTTTCTCTTTCTCTCTCTTTCCCTCTCTCTCTCCCCCTCTCCCTACCTCTCCCTGTCTTCCCCCCCGTCCCTGTTTATCTTTTCCTATCAATTTACCCCAATTTTTCTTAGTTTATCTTAGCTTTTCTGTATCAATTTATCACTGTTTCTGTTCATCTTGCCATTATTTCTTTTTTTTAATTAATTTATTTTGAATTATCAAAAATCACTTCCATAAGCTTTTGAGTTTTAAATTTTTCTCCCACCTTTTTATCTACCTCCTTCCCCAAGATGGCACGCAATCTGTTATAGGTTATACATATACATTCCTATTAAACATATTTTCACATTGGTGATGTTGTAAGTAAGAATTAGAATCAATAGGAGGAACCCCCAGAAAGAAGAAACAAAACACAGCAGAAGGAAAAAATAGCAAATAGTATGCTTATAGTTCTTTCTTTGGATGTGGATAGCATTTTCCATCATGAGGCCTTTGGAGACGTCTTAGATCCTTGTATTGCTGGGAAGGGTCAAGTCTATCAGTATTAGTCACCGCACAACATCTTGCCATTATTTCTGTCTCTATCTCTTTCTCTGCATTTATTACTTCTCCCTATCTTGATTTGTCACTGTCATTTTTCGGTCTTTATATCTCTCTCTTTGCTTATCTCTATTTCTATCTCTGTCTCTCTTTCTCAGTGATTTAATTTCTTTAGCCTGGTATATGTCCAATCCTCTGTCTCTTTCTGTTTCTGTTTATATCAAAGTTTCCATCCGAGCTGCATTTCACCCCTCGACTGAATCCCTTTCCTCTCATTTGGTATTTCCAGAAAGGCCCCCGAGAGAGCTGTATCTATTTGGCTAATGAAATCCGGGTCACAGGCTGCTACTACACGTGCATCAAGAAAATAGAGGTTTGTCCCAAGGCAAACATATAACTGACATATAACATTGCTCCCTCAGTGCTGTGATCCAGGAGGGGAGAGCATAGTGGCTGAAACTGGACTTGAGGAGAGGAATAAGGAATAAAAGACCCCACAGGCAGAGCCCAGATCAGGTCTGGGTTTACCCCCTCCAGAGTCTAGTTCCTAGGAGGTAGACTTGTTAATGCCAGAGGGACTAAGAGGTGACTGAAGACAAGGTGACTTGCCTCTATTCCAGGGGCTTAGAACCCCTATCATGAGTCCTAGGATGAGAGTTAGAAGACCAGGGTTCCATTATCAGCCTTTGTTATTTTTTGTCGTTTTTAACTATGTGACTTTGTCACTATGTGACTTTGGGCAAGTCCCTGTTCCCTCTCTGGGCTTCTGTTCCCTGCTCTGCATGAATTGAATGGGCTTGGTGAACTGAGGCTTTGCCACTGGCCTCCAACTGATCTATTATAACCTACCCACCCACATTTACCCCCAGATCCCTGACTGCTGCCCTGGCTACTTTGGAACCCTTTGTGAGCCCTGCCCTGGGGGTCCAGGTGGTAACTGCTCAGGCCATGGGCAGTGTCAGGATGGCCTTCTGGGTAATGGAGAGTGTCGCTGCCACGAAGGCTTCCATGGCACTGCCTGTGAGGGATGTGAGTTAGGGCGCTATGGGCTTGACTGTGCTGGAGGTAAGGATCTACAGGGGCCAGGCTGGGTAAGATTCCTCCCTTCCTGGGCTCAGTTTCCTCATCTGTGCCCTGGGAAGAAGATTCATACCATGACCACAGTGTGTGTGTGTGTGTGTGTGTGTGTGTGTGTGTGTGTGTGTGTGTG